GCTCTCCATTTGCTTGATAAATCTTTGTCAATACCTTTATTTTGGGCTTATGTGTGTCCTTGCATGTGAGATGGGTTTCCTGGATATAGTACACCAATGGGTTTTGACTTTTTATCCAATTTTCCAGTCTGTGTCTTTTGATTAGGGCATTTAGCCCATTTACATTTAAGGTTAATATTGTTCTGTGTGAGTTTGCTCCTGCCATTTTGATGGTAGCTGTTTTTCCCATTAGTTGATGCAGTTTCTTCATTGTGTCAATGGTCTTTACCATTTGGTACATTTTTGGAGTGGCTGGTACTTGTTTTTCCTTTCTATGTTTAGTGCTTCTTTCAGGAGTTCTTGTAAGGCAGGCCTAGTGGTGGTGGAATCTCTGAGCAATTCCTTGTTCATAAGGATTTTATTTCTCCTTCACTTATGAAGTTTAGTTTGGCTAGATATGAAATTCTAGATTGAAAGTTCTTTTCTTTAAGGATATTGAATATTGGTCCCACTCTCTTCTGGCTTGTAGGGCTTCTGTAGAGAGATCCACTCTCTGAGTCCGATGGGATTCCCTTTGTGGGTAACCTAACTTTTCTCTCTGGCTGCGCTTAGCATTTTTTTCCTTCATTTCAACCCTGGTGAATCTGAAGATTATGTGCCTTGAGGTTGCTCTTCTTGAGGAATATCTTTGCAGTGTTCTCTGTATTTCCTATACTTGAATATTGGCCTGCCTTGCTAGGTTGGGGAAGTTCTCCTGGATAATATCCTGTAGAGTGTTTTCCAGCTTGGATTCATTCTCTCTGTCACATTCAGGTATATCTTTCAAACGTACACTGGGTCTTTTCACAAAATCTCATATTTCTTGGAGGCTTTCTTCATTTATTTTTACTTGTTTTTCTCTAATCTTGCCTTCTTGTTTTATTTCATTGAGTTGATCTTCAATCTCTGATACCCTTTCCTCTGCTTGGTCGATTCAGCTATTAAAAATTGTGTAAGCTTTGTGAAGTTCTTGTGCTGTGTTTTTCAGTTCCATCAATTCATTTATATTCTTCTCTAAGCTGTTTATTCTCGTTAGCATTTTGTCAAACCTTTTTTCAAGGTTCTTAGTTTCTTTGTATTGGGTTAGAATATGTTCTTTTAGCTCAGAGAAGTTAGTTATTACCTACCTTCTGAAGCCTATTTCTGTCAATTCATCAGACTCATTCTCCATCCAGCCTTGTTCCCTTGCTGGTGAGGAGTTGTGATCCCTTAGAGGAGGAGAGACATTCTGGTTTTGGGTGTTTTCATCATATTTGTGCTGGTTTCTTCCCATCTTTATGGATTTGCCCACCTGTGATCTTTGTAGTTGGTGACTTTCAGATGGGGTTTCTGAGTGGACATCTTTTTGTTGATGATGAAGTTATTTCTGTTTTTAGTTTTCCTTCTAACAGTTAGGCTCCTCTGTTGCAGGACTGCTGGAGGTCCACTCGAGATCCTGCTTGCCTGGGGATCACCTGCAGCAGTTGCAGAACAGTAAGGGTTCCTGCCATTTTCTTTTTCTGGTATCTTTGTCCCAGAAGGATACCTGCCAGATGTCAGCCTGAGGTCTCCTTTATGAGTTGTCTTTTTGGATAAACAAAGGTTGGGGAGCTGCTTGAGGAGACAGTCTGTCCCTTATAGGAGCTCAAGTGCTGAGCTCTGAGCTCCGTTGTTCCTTTCAGAGCTGTTGGACAGGTACGTTTAATCCTGCTGCAGCAGAACTCATAACTGCCTTTTTTTCCCAGATGCTCTGTCCTGGGATGGTGGGGCTTTATTTATAAGTTTCTGTTGTGTTTCTGCCTTTTTTCAGAGATGACCTGCCCAGTGAGGAGGTAGCCTAGTAACAGTCTGCCAGCAGAGGCATTGCTGAGCTGCCGTGGGCTCTGTCCAGCTGCTATGTGAACTTCCTTGCGGTTTTGTTTATCGAGGTATAGTTACCACTGCCTCAGTAAAGGCAGTCTGTCTCTGTAATGGTGGACTGCCTCGGAAATGGCAGATTGCCTTGGTAATGGAGGACTGCCTCGGTAATTGTGGACTGCCTCGGTAATGATGGACTGTCTGTAATGGCAGACTGCCTCGGTAATGGCGAATTGCCTCGGTAATGGCGGACTGCCTTGGTAATGGCCGATGCCCTTCCCCCCTGCAGAGCTGGACCATCCTGGGTCCAGCTGTGCTTGCTGTGAAACTCTCAATCCAGAGTGTTTCAGATTGCTGGTCTTTGTGGGGGTGGGACCTGCTGAGCCAGATCACCTGGCTCCCTGTTTCAGTCCCCACTTTTTCAGCTGAATGGGTGACTCTATCTGCCAGGCGTTCCAAGCGCAAGTTGAAATGGCACCCAGATTTGTGTGAGTTTTTGTGTGGAGACCCACTGCGCCGGCTGAAACAGCCATGCTGGAGACTCGTGGCACTTTTCTGCCCGGGAATCTCCTGGTCTGTGGGCAGTAAAAATTCCTTTGGAAATGCAGTGATCACTCACCGTCTGCGTTCTTGCTGGGAACTGCAATCCAGAGCCTTTCCTATTCGGCCATCTTGGATAGTCTCTGATTACATCAAGCTTTCTTGTGGTAAAAACATTTAAGACCTACTTTTTAGCAACTTTCAAGTACACAGTACATTATTTTATTTTATTTTAGAGATAGGGTCTTGCTCTATCACCCAGGCTGGCATGCAGTGATGCAATCTTGGCTCACTGAAACCTCCTCCTCCTGGGTGCAAGCAATTCTTGTGTCTTGCCTCCTGAGTAGCTGGGATTACAGGAATGTGCCCCCACACCCAAGTCCCAAAGTGCTGGGATTACCTGTGTGAGCCACCTTGCCCAGCCCTGATCCTTCTATTTTTCCCCTTTTCCACCACCTTGCCTGTGTAATTTTTGTATTTTTAGTAGAGATGGGGTTTTGCCCTGTTGGCCAGGCTGGTCTCAAATTCCTGAGCTCAGGCAGTTTACCTGCCGTGGCCTGTCAAAGTGCTGGGATTACAGGTGTGAGCCACTGCACCCAGCACATGGTACGTTATTATTAGCTATAGTCACCATAGCTGTCCAGTCGATCTGCAGGACTTATTTCTTCACTACAGCTGAGACTTTGTACCCTTTGTCCAGCATCTCCCCATTACCTTGCATAGCTTCTTCATAAACACTTCAGTATATATTCTGAAGAGATACAACTTTAAATTACATAACAGTTATTCTATTATCTACCTAAGACAAATATGATCGTATATCCAGTGTTCAAATTTCCCTGATAGTCTTTTTTTTTTTTTTTTTTTTTAACATTTAACTCATCTGAATGAGGATCCAAACAAGGTCCCACACATCACATTAGTTGATATATTTTAAAGTCTTCTAAATGAATTATCCAGGCCAAAATGTCTATAGTACTGCAATTGAGAGACCCTGCTATGGCATTATTTAACAATGTATCTCTCTATTTTCTGTAAAAAAAAATAGATATTTAGACATTTAGATATTCTGGTTATTTAGACAGCAGCACTTGACCAGATTCAGGATCAGAGGAGGCAAGAGTATCTCATGAGCGTTTCTGGGCACTTCCTATGGCAGCACATTGGGGGCCACTTCCTGTCATGAAAAGCTTTCCCCTTTTCTGTGATGTTAGGGTTGATCTGTGAGTTTAGGTGTCAATGATCTGATCCTTCATCTTTTTTTTTTTAAGGGACAAGGTCTCTGTCCCCCAGGCTGGAGTGCAGTGGAGCAATCATAGCTTACTGTAGCCTTGAACTCCTAGGCTCAAGCAATCCTCCCGCCTCAGCCTCCCAAGTAGCTGGGACTGCAGGTGTGTGCTACCATGCTTAGCTAATTTTTTTTTTTTTTTTGTAAAAACGGAGTCTCGCTCTGTTGCCCAGGCTGCTCTTGAGCTCCCGGCCTCAAGTGATCCTCTCGTCTCATCTTCCCAAAGTGCTGCGATTACAGGTATAAGCCACTTTGCCCTGCCCTGATCCTTCTATTTTAATGTTCCCCATCAGCTAATGATTCTAGCATCTGTTAGTGATCATTAGGTAGATCAATGATTTCATATAGATTCTATTATTGTTTCTATACTTGTTAGGTGTCATTCTTCTCTAAAGAAGGGCTTCCCTTCAAGGCAGCAAATCACACTGCCATGTGTGTACCTATGCAACAATCTTGTATGTGCTTCACATGTACCCCAAAATGTAAAATGCAATAAAAAAAAAGAAACTTTAAATATATAGGAGTTTTGTTGATAACACAGGAGATGCAGCTGATTTTATGAAACAAACAATATTAAATTAGCCTTATTTACCAAAGGGTTACACAAACAAAGATCATTCTGTTTTTAGGCTGTATTTATAGTTTTAGGACCTTAAAATATCTTTTTTTTTTCCCATTTATTTATTTTATTGCATTTTAGGTTTTGGGGTACATGTGAAGAACATGCAAAATTGTTGCATAGGAACACTCGTGGCAGTGTGATTTGCTGCCTTCCTCCCCATCACCTACATAGGACCTTAAAATATCTAACAGAAACCAGCACACAGCCAAAAATGCATGCTGACAATTTTAAAGACATCTCAATTTTTATGTTACCAATAATTTAAAAACAAGCTTATTTATTAAATATTTACTTCTAAAAGGCAAAAAAAATAAAATAAAATAAAAAAAAGAAGGGCTTCCCTTCAATTATATCCCAAGGTACAGCGTACACAAGAAACTTTTCTTTTTTTGAGACAGAGTCTTGCTCAGTCGCCCAGGCTGGAGTGCAATGGTGCGGTCTCAGCTCATTGCAACCTCCGCCACCTGGGTTCAAGCGATTTTCCTGCCTCAGCCTCACGAGTAGCTGGGATTACAGGCACCCGCCAGCACATCTGGCTAATTTTTTGTGTTTTCAGTAGAGATGGGGTTTCACCATGTTGGCTAGGCTGGTTTCCAACTCCTGACCTCGTGATCTGCCCGCCTTGGCCTCCCAAAGTGCTGGGATTACAGGCGTGAGCCACTGCACCTGGTCGATATTTTTCTTTTTTAAGGCAGTTATCAGAATAATGATTTAGTTATTTAGGATGTGCCTAAATAAAGGTGACTGGTGAGGTTGGTTTATTTTTTTATTTTTTTCTAAATTTTTTTTTTTATTTTAAAAAATTTTTAACTAGGGGAAAGCGCGAACGCAGTCCCCCACTATCACAAATTATGCAGTCGAGTTTTCCACATTTGGGGAAATCGCAGGGGTCAGTACATCCGGAGTGCAATGGATAAGCCTCGCCCTGGGAAAACCTCCTTCGTGATCATGGTATCTCCCCTGCCAGGAGGTTGGTTTTCTAAAGTGTCATTATAAACTTCGGAATCTTAGCATAAATGATGTGTGACAGCTCAGTGCAGTTGTTCTTTCTGATACGCACACTGCTCCATCTTAGGCTAGGGGGAGCCTGCTTAATGCAACCTGTGTCTTTTAGACGTGACCACAGTACGCTTCTTTGCTTTCTGTCATGACAAATTGTTCCACATTCGCCTTATACATTTTCCTTCTCTGACCTAGAGTTAGACATTTCTCCAAGGCCTGATTGTTTTTAGTAAGAATATAATAGCTACATCACAATAGGTGTGCCCAGTTTTTAAAGATTTGCCTGCATAAATAGTGGTGACCCAAGTCTTACACACGGGCATGATCAACTGCTGCTGCATATCTTACCAGATGCATTTTACAAAAAATTCCACCCATTCCCCCTCAATCAGGGTGCATGTTTGAAAGTTCCTTGAGGCCACGCATGGTGGCTCATGCTTGTACTCCTAGCACTTCGGGAGGCTGAGGTGGACAGATCGCTTGAGCTCAGGAGTTTGAGACCAACCTGGGCAACATGGCAAAACCCAGTCTCTACACAATACACACACAAAATTAGCCAGGCTTTGTGTTGCACACCTGTAGTCCCAGCTACTCGGGAGGCTGAGGCAGGAGGATCACTTGAGCCCAGGAGGTTGAGGCTACAGTGAGTGAGCTGTGATCGCACCACTGCACTCCAGCCTGGGCAACAGAGTGAGACCCTGTCATAAAAACAAAAAACAAAAAAACCAAAATAAGAAAACTAAAGTCCCTTGACTTTTGCAGACCTTGGCCGAGTCTGATTCTTAGTCCTTCTCATCTGGGATGAAGGAGATTTACTAACAAATGTTAGATTTTTTTCCCTCTTCCTCCTAAGAGCTCCCACAATGCAAAGACACTGTGGAGCTGCAGAGGTTGACCTGGCCAGAGCTGGCCCCCAACCTCAGGGTACTGTCCTGAGAGCTGAGGATAGGGAGCTGCACCCCCCCTTCCAGAATGGTGCATGCCTTTGGGGAGTCTCTCCTCACATAGCAGACCTCCTAACTCAAGACTGCTCATTTTGCTATAAGATATTGCCCGCAAGGACTGAGTCCTGAGCCCTCACACACAAGCAGAATAGAGCCACCAATACCTGCATGACAGTCTTAGATGGCTTCCCTAGACTCTCCTTAACTCACTTCCTTGTCTGTGCCAGGTCGGCCTGGTCTCTCTGGGCCCCTAGTGGCTGAGAGGCCCTTACCGAGGCAAGCCTTGAGTGAGCAGGGCACCTACCCGTGTGGCATCTTACGTACATGGCTGAGCTGTGGGCACCCTCAGCTGCCAAACCAGAGGCATCTAACAGAGTTTCAGCCCTGCAGTTATGAGGCAAGGGGAGTGACAAGGAAGGTCAATGATGGAGAAAACCCAGTGACATTTTATACGTTAGCGAAGTCCACTGCCAAGTGCCCAAAGCCTGTCTGAGTGTACTGTTTAAAGGGCAGGAAAACACGCTTCCAGTTCTTACACTGTAAAAGTAATGAAGCTGGCCCTTTGCTGGGGGCATCTTCACCACATCTGCCCCTCTGCCTGCCTGGCCTCCCTGGCACTCACGGGCTGCACTGGGACAGGCGTTCTGCAGAGCTGCCCTCACAGTGGCTTCCACACATTCTCTCTCACAAATCTCAAGACTGACTTAAAAAAATTCCTAACATCAGCAGTCTTTAAGCCCTATCTGAGAGTAAAACACAGTTCATGTGTCTACTGAGCATTACTTATTTGCAGCTGGGTGAAAGTCACAGCTGCTTCCTTTCTGGCACTGGGGAACGGATGAAAGCCAGGAGAGCTGTGTGGGTGTCACTTTTATGTAAAACAGACCCTTGCGGTGCATGCTTTTTCCTACCAAGCACTTCATTGCCTCTGGTAAAGACAGACTCCCCATGAACCAGGGAGCCAGATGATGCTACCTAGAATAAGAAGGGACCTAACAAATTTCAACACTGTCATTTTTAGCTGTCCAATCCTTTTCTTTCCAGTGAAATCTAGTCCAGATCCCCACTCTACAAAGCAGAGAGAAATTGGCTGAATGGGGCTGAGGCACCAGAGCTAAGGTTATTGGTCTCTTTCTCATGGCCCGTCCCCATGGCAACTGCAGGATTCCAAGAAGGACTTTTGGAGAAGTGCTGATGGCAGACAGTACGGCAAACCTACCCTGATTTTGGCCCCCTTCCCCAATCACCCCTGCAAGTGCTGAATAAGTGAGATAATGGTTGGAGTCTGACAACGAAACAAAACACGGAACCCGGTGAGGGTGGAGAACAGGACCCCACACCTAGGGGACAGGTATGGGCGGAGAGTAGCGTCCTTTTCTCCCTCCTGTGAAATGCTTCTCCATGGAAGCATCACACCCCAGAAAACAACAAATAGCAGCAGCAGCCTGGTGGCACCTGGGCAGTGGGGTAAGATTAGAGCTGTATTCCATGCACACTGGGGTAGATGCATACAAAATATGTGCAGGCAGACGGGCCAGCCTCGCGGAACTTCCTCTTCTCCAGCTTTCTCCTCTTCAAAGGCGAGCTGACTGCAATTCTTGGAGCTGGAACTTAGGCCAAGATGGAGGTATGTGGAGGTTCCCTGAGGGCGAGGTCACAGGCTAACTTGTGGCAAATGGGAGTGGTTGGGTCCAAATGGCAACACCAGAGGATCTCCCACCCTTGATGTGTTCCCGCCCTCCCTGCTGACCCACCAGGGATGCAGTATCTCTCACCATGAATACTCATCACTAGCCAAGGTAGTCAAGATCCCCAAAAGAATATGAGATCACATGGAAAATATAATAAGACATGATAAAAGGTGGTAGTGGGCCGGGCATGGTGGCTTACGCCTGTGAACCCAGCGCTTCGGGAGGCTGAGGTGGGTGGATCACTTGAGGTCAGGAGTTCGAGACCAGCCTGGCTAAATGGTGAAACCCTGTCTAAACTAAAAATACAAAAATTAGCCGGTGTGGTGGCAGGTGTCTATAATCCCAGCTACAGTACTTGGGAGGCTGAGGCAGGGGAATCGCAAGAACCTGGGAGGCAGGGGTTGCAACGAGCCGAGATCACACCATTGCACTCCAGCCTGGGCAACAGAGAGACTCCATTTCAAAAAATGAACAAACAAAAAAAAAAAAAAAAAAAAAAAAAAAAAAAAAAAAAAAAAAAAAAAAACAAACAAAAAAAAAAAAAGAAAAAAGGTGACAGAATTAACGCAAACATGATAGTAAAATAAATGTAAGTGGATTAACTCATCAATCCAAAGACAGATTTGCCAATTAAATTGTAAAAATAATATTTAACAGTATGTTGTCTGTAGGAGATTTAAGAAGTTATAGAAATGTTTATTAATTTTTTTCCTAGTATTCCTTTATTATCTTTTTTTTTTTAAATTTTTCCATTGGTTCTCAGGGTACAGGTGGTATTTGGTTACCTGAGTAAGTTCTTCAGTGCTGATATGCGAGATTTGGTGCACCCATCACCCGAGCAGTGTATGCTGCACCATATTTGTATTCTTTTATCCCTTGCCCCACTTCCACCTGTCCCCCCAAGTCCCCAAAGTCCATTGTATCATTCTTACGCCTTTGAGTCCTCATAGATTAGTTCCCATATATCAGTGAGAACATATCATGTCTGGTTTTCTCTTCCTGAGTTAGAAAGGTTGTAGAAATATTTAATATTAATGTCAGACAAAAGAGAATTTTAAAACATCAAAGTGGACAAGCAGAATATTAGGATATTATATTTTGGTAAGAGGACCAATATGTCAAGAGGATATAATAATAAAGATAAACCTATCAATATAGCCTCAAATATATAAAGTAGCTACTGACAGGACTAAAGGGAGAGATAAATAAATCAGCAGTTGTAACCAGAAAATGTTATATGCTCCTCTCAGAATTTGACAGATAAAGCATGAAAAGAGTGAAGATGTAAACTGCCCAATAAACTGCACTTTATTTATTTACAGACACATATATGTAGCATATGTAGCATATATACATATATGTTTGCAACAATCAATCCTGTAGTAAGCCACAAAAATGTCATACTTCCAAATAATTTACATCATAGGGATCATAGTTCTTTGATGATAATGTAATAATTAAAATAATTAAAGGACACAAGAATAACATCCTTCCTTCTGTTCATTCGCTGGAAGCTAAAGAAACTCACTTACCAAAGCCAGAAGATTCTTGGGTTAAAGAAGAAAACAAGAGAAACTTAAAAAACATACTTAGAACTAAAATTTAAACAATGAAAGCCTTAAAAATTGTGGGAGATAAAGTAGTACTTAGAAGAAAATTTATAGCTTTAAATCACTCATCCAGGCCAAGTGAGGTGGCTCATGCCTGTAATCTCAGCATTTTGGGAGGCTTAGGCAGGTGGATCACCTGAGGTCAGGAGTTCGAGACCAGCCTGGCTAACATGGTGAAACCCCGGCTCTACTAAAAATACAAAAATTGACCAGGCGTGGTGGTGGGTGCGTATAATTCCAGCTACTTGGGAGGCTGAGGCAGGAGAATCTCTTGAACCTGGGAGGCAGAGGTTATAGTGAGCCAAGATCGTGACACTGCACTCCAGCCTGGGTGACAGAGCAAGACTC